AAATACTAAAACAATGAGCTGCAAATGGGGAATCCAGAAAACTCCTTTGATAAATGTCAGTACTTTTAAATTAGGACAAAGGAATTAGAAAAATGGAGGCTTATGTTTAATTCACTTGAAAGCAAATTAAAGGGTTCGGCTTATGGATGAAAGAGAAAATTAGGTTATTTTTTTCCCTGAGAGTTACCAAGGCTACTGCAGCCCAGAGAAAGCCACGCAGCTTGGCGAGCTGCTGTTGACAGGGCTGTTAGCACATCTTAAGTGGATTTAGGAGAAGTGGTTCCATCTCAGGCATTGGGAGCTGGACCAGGCACGGTGTCACACCCTGGCAGGGACAGCACGCTGCTGACGCTGTCTAACCCCGGGACCTTCCCCAAAATAATCCTTCCTCCTCCTCGCTTCACAAGGCCTGATGAGCAGGGAGCCTCCAGCAGCGGCTGGTTTGATTTTTCAGAGGCTCAGGTGCTTTGAAGCACATCCTGCACCTGGGCATGGTGTCTCCAGCATTTCCAGGGCAGCAGAAATGCTGCCCCCAGTCCCCGTGTGCCCGTGGCCGGCTCCTCCTGCCCTGGCTCACTGGGAGCTCCATCCGGCACAGAAAGGGTTTATGAGGGCCCTTTCCAAGGAAACCTTTACTTGCAGGTTCAGATTCTGTACTGTGTCATCCTGTGTCTTGTGGTCTTCTGAGATACTCAGCTCCTGCTACATTTCATGGAGGTTTTTCATTAGAACTTAATTTCCATCTTGGGAGCCAAAATTGTTATGGCAAATCTTAAAAAAATCAGTTGTTCAAGGCCAGGCTGGATGGGGCTTGGAGCGCTCTGGGACACTGGAAGGTGTCAGGGGCTGGAACATGATGGGCTTTAAGGGCCCTTCTGCCCTAAACCATCCCATGAATCTATAATTCTCATTTCTCAGCACATTTTCTTTCTCAGTGCACTTTGCATTTCCACCCTCTTCAGTGGCTCATATTACAGAAAGCAAAGCTGTCACATTGATTTTTTTCTAAGGGATCTTATGGATACCAAGGCAAACACAAAATTGGGTATGAGCCATGATTCTTCCTTCATTTCTGGCCAGTGTCTGTCCAGCTTCCGTTTAGTCCTTTTGAGGTATCCCCTGAATGACTACACAAAGAGTACAGTGAGACTGGGGTCATTACATCACTCAAATTCCCTTTTCCCTTTGGAAATATCAAAGTTATTGCAAGCCATGGCAAGTCCAACCTGCTTGGCAATGAGTTTGCACATCCTACAGGTGCTGAGACCTTCCAGGGTCCTCGGGAGAATGAAGATATTCCTGAAAAGGTTTCACAGCCGTTGCAGTTACCAGGCTTTGCTTTGGCTTTATTTGATCCTAAATGCTAACAAGGAACTCTCCTACTCTCCACTCAGTCCAGTTTCAGGGGCTGAAGTGTTCCAGAAGTTCAGAATGAGAGGGTCCCATAAGAACACATCTGCAAGCAATAATAATGAGCAGGAGGGAAAGTTCCTGAGCCCAACGCGCCAGGTTTCAGTTCACAGCTCCTCCACCCTCAGGAGCAGCTGACAGGCCAGAGCCAGACCCTCCTCCTGCCCCTCCTTCAGGCACGAGCAGCAGCAGCTGACCAGGAGGTGCTGCGGTCAGCCGAGCTGGGCTGAGCAGCAGCGGGGACGCAGGTCCTGGCAGGGGATGCAGGTCCCGGCAGGGGATGCAGGTCCCGGCAGGGGGATGCAGTCCCAGAGGGGATGCAGGTCCTAGAAGGGGATGCAGGTCCCGGCAGGGGATGCAGGTCCCGGCAGGGGGATGCAGGTCCCGGCAGGGGATGCAGATCCTAGAAGGGGATGCAGTCCCAGCAGGGGATGCAGGTCCCAGGAGGGGATGCAGGTCCCAAGAGGAGGATGTACATCCCAGCAGGAGGGGGATGCAGGTCCCAGCAGCTTCTGCAGGTCCAGAGAGGGTGGCTGCTCTCAGCTGTCACCTCACCGCCCATGGAAAGGGGCCCTGCAGCTCTCTTGCCTTGCTCCCACGGCTGGTTTGGGAGTTGGAGACCATCTCCTGCCATGGGACTGTGCACAGCAGGGTCCTGCACAGCAGCCTGACTCGAGAGCACACAACAAAGTTGTCCTCGGTTTCCAGTGGGACCAGTTTCACTCTCACAAGTGCATTTCTTTTAATCAGCATATTTTATTTTCTTTCTCTGCCCAGTGATTTCTCCACGGACCTACCCAATCTTTTCTTTCACTGCCTTTGCTAAATCTTTTGTCTGGAGCTCTGGGGAGCAGCTTTTTGGGCTAGGTCTAACAGGAGCAGCAACGGGATATTTTTCCAGCTGACTGATCAATACCTTGCCTCATTTGCACAGAAAGGGAGCAGGTGATTTTTGGGGGTGGAAGGGGTGGCTTCACTTCACTGCACTCACCCCAGCACCCACCCAGGGCAGGAGAGAGCCCAGCTCTGACAAACGAGGCAGCAGGGAACAATGGTTCCTCTCTCCCCGCGGAGTCTGCAGGATCTTTTCTGGGCAGCTTTTCCCAGTGCAGCTCTTGTCTGTCCTGGCTGTCCCACGAGTAATTACAGCAGGCAGGAAATGCCTCGCTGCTGGGGTGGCCCGTGGGGGTGTCTGTGCCTGGACTTTCCACATCCCCAAACCTCCCATTTCCTTTTTTCCTCTTCAGGCTTAGGAAGAAATGATGCTTTCATTGCACTGATTCCTTGGCAGCTTCCCCTTGTCCAGAGGGGGAGGCTGCAGCTTCTCCTCAGCCCGGGAGGTGACACCAAGGCAGCCTCCACGCTGGAATTCCACGCAGCTTCCCTGGTTTGCCCACAAGGAAGGATTTCCTGCAGCTCTGACCTCGAGGAGGGACAAGACAGAGCCAGGGAAAGCAATCCTCACACGCCATCTCTCTCGTGTGAGGTGGGACACTGAGCCAAACCCATCCCTTCCTCGCTGTGATGGGGCTCAGGTCACCTCTTTGGCCCAAGAGCATCAGAATTCCTCATTCCTGAGGGAGAGAAAGACATTTTCCAAGGGAATTTTTTTTTCATTTGTTAAAAACCCCACTAAAACTCACATATGTTACAGCGATTTTTTTTTTCTGGACAGTCATTTCAAAAATAGAGCACTGAAAAGAATCTGCAAAATAATTAAAAATAATAATAAGCAGAAAAATCCAATAATTTCCCCAGTTTCCCAGATGATGTTTCAACTGCAGCTCAGTGCAATTTCAACTCGAAATTTGCTTAAACATAATCATACTCTTTTTAAAGAAATCAAAAAGCCCAGCTCTAGAGCAATGTTCTTTACTCCAAATGAGGCTTTATTAACACTTTCTTTTTCCCCACTGAGTAGCTCAGGAAAGGCTCATTTTGGGTGTGAAATACGGTTGCAAGAGACATTAATGTGTTTACAACTTTTCAATTCTGGCAGAGGTCTGTTAAATGGATAGTTCCAGACTGGAACACGGTAGAAGCTTTCAAAAGGAGAGGAAGGCCGGGGAGGAAGGCCAAGGATCACACTTTCCCTTTGATTTGCCGAGTGAGAAGAAAAAAAAAGGAAAAAAGAAAAGAAGAAGTACTTTCTTGACTTTTTCTGTTTGAAATAGAACACCTACAAATGGCTGTATGAATTATTTCCCTTCTCTGTTTTACTCCTGAAAAATAAAAGTGTGCAGTTCCTTTGCAGGAAGGATTAATGAGGTGATGCCATGAGGAAATGCAAGTTAAGAACCCTGAACAGCTCCAGCAGAAAAAATTAAAAACTTCCCAGAGCACTCAAATACCTGTTCAGTGAAAAGATCTGAGCCAGCAGTGAGAAAGAAGCTCTCTCTGCAAATATCCAAATATCCAAAAGCACTGCCTGGGAGGTATGGGAAAAGTGTCCTGGTCATCCCCTGAGTCATCCAGGGAGACAGGGAAGGGAAGGGAAGGGAAGGGAAGGGAAGGGAAGGGAAGGGAAGGGAAGGGAAGGGAAGGGAAGGGAAGGGAAGGGAAGGGAAGGGGGCTGTGTTCGGAGCAGGAGGTAGCTGAGCACAACACACTTACTCGGGAATTAGGCTGTCCCTACGCCATCGGTCAATTAATTACTGGGGAACCTGAAGATGTCACTTTACATTTTGTGTCTCAGGTACTCCATGCATGAAATGGAGGTAGTGAAAAATGATGCTCACTCATCATTATAAAGATTAAGGAGCTAGGGTCTGCTGCTTGGCTCCCTAAAACAGGGTCCTTTGCTGGGCCGTGGGGATTAGAGCTGGGGAAGCACCAGGGAATGGTGGTGAGGGACCAGAGCACCACGGGGAAGGCGGTGTGGGAACCTGGATGGAAAGTTATGGAAGCACATTACCCGAATTTACAGAGGCTGTTGGAGGAGAACTGGGAGGGCATCATGCTGCAGGGGATTATGGAAGGTGCCGTGGCCGGGACGGGGGTAGGACATGGGCCAAGTCTTCAGGGCAGTGTCACTGCCAACAACAGTCGGGAGTAGGACACATCTCCGAGGCGATGAGGCCCGTGCTTCCATCCGAATGGGAGGGATGGGGAGGAGGGGAAAGCTGCCGGGACCCTCCAGGAGGGCAGCGGGCGAGGAAGAAGCCGGCCTGGGGCTTGCAGGGTGCAAGGGGCCATGCCCAAGGCAGCGGTGCACGGGATGAGAGAGAGAGCCCATGCCGGGGATGCGGGGCCGGGATGCGGGGCCGAGGGGGAGGAGGCGGGGGCCGGACCACCAAGCCCCTCCCCAAGGGCCGCGGCGGGGCGGGGGCGGCCCGGGGAAGGCGGCGAGGCCGCCCCGGCGCTCGGGCACGGCGGAGCTGCGCCCGCCGCAAGTTTCGCTGCCGAGAGGAGGGAGAAAGCAAAACATAAAAACACACCACAAGGGGAAAAAAAAAAGGGGGGGGGGGAATTATAATAAGAAGAAAGGAAAATTGAATAATTAATCGGCATAAAATAAGTGTAAGCATCCCGGGAGCCCCTCCGCGGAGGATGGCGCGGAGGGCGGCCGGCAGCCCGCCGTGGCTGCGGGCATGACCCGGGGCCGGAGCGGGGCCGGGCCGGCCGGGGCAGCGCTCGGGCCGGGGGGGCCGGGCCGGGGCGCGGGGCCGCCTCCCTCCCTCCGCCCTGCCCAGCCCTCCGCGCATCCTCCGGCACCGCCGAGCCGCGCCGAGCCGCGCCGGGCCGGGCCGGGGGTCCGAGCCGAGCCCAGTCGGTGGGGCCGAGCCGTGCCGAGCGGGAGGATGAGGGGCGTCCTCTGCTTCTGCACCCTGATCCTCCTGGGTGAGTAGCGCGGCGCGGGGGGAGCTGGGGGCACAACTTTCTGCCGGGCTCGCTTGCGGGGGTATTTCGGGCACCCCCGGGCAGGGGGTCCCCGCTCCCCAGCGCTCCGGGAGCGGCGGTGAGCCCGGGTGGCATCACCGAGGCCGGGCTGGACGGGCTTGGAGCCGCCCGGGCTCGTGGAAGGCGTCGCTGCCCGTGGCAGGGTGGTCGGAGCGAGATGCTCGTAAAGGTCCTTTCCAGCCCGAACCATCCCGCGGCTCCGTGCTGATCAGCTTTCTGTTGCCTCCTCTGCTCTGCACTCGAACGCTGGGCTCTGCTGCTGTCATTTCGGGCCGTCCTGCTGGCCGCGGAGATGCCCAGAGGTGCCCCGCGAATTCAGGCACTTCTCGGGGCAGAGGGGCTCGCACGGGCTGTGCTGGCAGCGGGGAGGCAGATCCGCACAGCGCCGGGAATGCCCCGGTGCCGCGGCCGGGAGATGCCGGGCTTCGGGGCAGGTGTGTGCGGGGTGGCAGCCCCAGCTGTGCCACCGCTCTGCCACCGCTCTGTCACCGCTCTGTCACAGCTCCGAGCGAGCCGCGCGTCTGGCGGGGTGCGCTCGGGGGTCCCTGCTGCGGATTCCCTCACACCCCCCGAGCCCAGCTGTCCTCAGGGCTTTGTTCTGGCACCTAGAGCAGGGAGGGAGGACCCCAGATGTTCCCCCCACCCCCGTGGAGCGCTGAAGGCAGCCCTCGTCCCCTGGCGTGGCTGGGAGCCGCTGTCCCCGTGTCCGCGGGGATGTGGACTCCCGTGCTTTGAGCATCCCGCTCGCCTCCTCCCTCCGCTCAGCTCGGAGCGGCCGCTTCTCCTGCGCGATTCCCGGGGCTCCCGCGTCCCTGGGAAGAAGGAAACGCGGGTGAAGGGGCTACAGCCCCCGGCAGCGGTGGGGACGGCCTGAGTGCCACCCCGGCTCCTCCCCTTGGGGCATTTTGTCCCCTCCCTGTGCTCCGTTGAGGCAACAAACCCAACATCGAGCCTGTGTTGGACCGGGAAGGGTTGTGGGGAGGCTGGGAATAGGATGCGCCCGTTCTCCTCGGGTGCCACTGTAGGAGGAAAAGGTCTTGGGGTGACTGCAAGTGGCTGGGACATCGTGGGGCGCCCGGCACCCGCTCCCTGCACGGCCCTCCTCCCGCTGGAGCCCCGCTCCTGGGGACAACCGAGCTTCTGGGGACAACCGAGCTTCTGGGGAGAACCGAGCTCCTGGGGAGAACCGAGCCCCGGGCAGGACCGAGCCCCTGGCAGGACAAAGCTCCGGGCAGGACCGAGCTCCTGGGGAGAACCGAGCTCCTGGGGAGAACCGAGCCCCGGGCAGGACCGAGCCCCTGGCAGGACAAAGCTCCAGGCAGGACCGAGCTCCTGGGGAGAACCGAGCTCCTGGCAGGACCGAGATCCGGGCAGGACCGAGCCCCTGGCAGGACAAAGCTCCGGGCAGGACCGAGCTCCTGGGGAGAACCGAGCCCCGGGCAGGACCAAGATCCGGGCAGGACCGAGCGGGTTCTCCCGCGGTGTGGAGGCTCTGCCGGAGCTCCAGGTGCTCCCCGTGCCGGCTCTCCCAGTCACTAGATGTCAGCAGCAGCAACTCTTCAAGTCCCAAAGGCAGGGGGGAGGGAAAATCCGACCCCCGGAGGGACCGGCCACGTTCGGCCAGGCCCGCTTTGCTCCGGGGGCTGGAGTGTCCCGGAGCTGGCACGGCCGGGCGGGGGTGGCCGCTCCTGCGGGGGCAGGGGCCGTGCCCCGGGCTGGGCTGGGCTGGGCTGGGCTCAACCTCCCCCAGAGCTGCAGTTTTCCCCGAAGGCTCTCGGGGCTCGGGGTGCGAGTCCCGCTCTCTGCAGGATCCGTTTTCCAAGCGGCTCGGACTGGCTGGCTCATTGATTGACTGCTTGATTGACTGGTGGCCTGATCGATTTCTCTAGAGAAAGTGGACTCAGAGAAAGGAGCAAATGGCCAGTTCCATTGTCGGCAGTGCCATTGGGAATAGGGGACAGGTGTTAGGGATACACTTGTCACCTCTGCTCCAAGCCAGAGCAAAGCCATCAGCTGCTTCCACACATTGCCCTTCTGGTCCTGGGGTCTCCAGAGGGAGCTTTTCACCCCTGGCCTGGCATTTGACCCCTGCAGGCACAGCACCACCCCAGCAGATGCCTCTGGACACCCACAGCCTTTTCCCTAGGTATTTTTAGGATGTTTGTGTTGTGGTTGGACCTAGAGATGTGCCTGGAGGATCCCCTGCAGGGATCCAGGGTGCAGGGCTGGAGAGGGCAGGCGCGAGCCTGGCAATTCCCAGCTCCACCCCGCTGGCTGTGCACCCCGTGGGCTGCAGTGCGAGCTCCTCGCTTTTGGTGTGTCCCCCTCTGGCATTTTGGGGATGATCCTGGCTGGGGGAGGCAGTTCTTGTGAGATTAGGGCTCTCTCTCCTCATGGCAGTGTCACCAGCAGCCAGCCTGGATGCAGACCCCAGGTTCCTGCTGGCACAAGCACACAGGGTGGCCCAGAGCAGGCAACTTGCAGAACTGAACAATGTTTTTATTTTCCCCAGCTGCTGTTCAGCCAGATGAGCTGCCAGAGCTGGCGGCAGTGCGAGAGCAGAGCGGGAGCACAGTTCCACCCCTGAGGACGAGGGATGTGCCTTGGGAAGTTCCTGGCTGCTGTAGTGTCCCCTGATACTTATTGAGTTCGTGGCATTGGCTAGAAATCCCACTCACGGGGCACTGGTGAGGCTTTCAGGAAGACTTAATGGAAAATCAGGGCCACAGGAAGCACTGATTAAATATAAAGAGTTAATTATAAAGAGTTAAATATGAAGAGTTAATTAATTTGACAAGGACACAGGGCTCCACCTGGAGCTGCCACGGAGCTGCCCGGATCCAGAGGCCACATCGGTCCCTGCACTGACAGAACACCGGGTTCAGGTGAGGATGGCACAGCTGGAAGCAGCAGTTTGCTCTGCAGTCCCCTGGCACCAGGATCAGCTCTGGCCCTGGTCAGGGCAGGACCCGCAGGTGGCACTGGGGCCGGTTCCTGCTGCAGCTTTTCCTGCGCTGGTCGCTTGCAGAATTCCTGGCACGGGTTTGCCACATGTGCTTGCCACAGGCTCTTCACAGATGCAATCAAACACGAAATCGTCTGCTGGATGTTCACCTGGTTTGGGAACTCAGATCCCAGGGGAAAAGCAGGGAAAAATCTCTTTTAAAATGCATCTGTGTGTGTGAGAGAGGGAAACTCTCCTTAAATTAGTGGCTTTGTCAGTTCTGACAGGAGCAATCCGCTATTTGCATCAACAGGAATGTGATATTTATGTTTGTCCATGTTGGTGCAGAGGAGAAATAAAACTTCTTCCTCAACAGGCTGCCCACAAATGCTGTGCAGATTCCTCGGCAAGGACCTTACCACACCCAGAAAATGTCTTTTCCAGAGCTCTGGAGCCTTTAATAGTAATTATTGCTGGGTAAAAATTAGTACTACTTAAGGCTAATAATTAGTATGAATTACTGTGAATAGCATTTTATTTTACTTTTGGAGACAGAAATGCCTTCTCTGCTCTCCTGGCAATTTTCACAGATGATTTCTATTGTGCCTGAAATTCCCTTCATCATTTTCACACAAGACTTGTTCATTTTTATAGCTTTCCACTTGGTCATTTTAAAACATGACTTCTAATATCTCTAAAGTTTGCCACCTTTTGATAAAAATACCTTGCTACCAAGATATTCATGATTTCATTTTCCCTCTAGTGGACTTTATATTCCTTTTGCTTCCTTAAAAAATATATAAATGACCTCTTTCTTCTCAACCCAAAAGTGAGAGAGGACAAATTGAAAGGTAGTTCTCCTGCTAGAAGAATTTTTTCAGAATACATTTCACTGAAAAAATAAGAAGCAACAAAACTATGAAAGGCTTGTTCCTGTCAATCTTCAGTTCAGCACAGCTGCCTCATTTCAAAAAGCACCTGTGAGAATCCCCTGTGGTAAAACCTCCTGGCAGAGACCTCCGTGCCTCTGGGCTGGGGGAGGAGGGCAGGGCAGACCTCACCCTCCGGAGCCCCTGCCTTCATCCCTCTGCTCATCCCTGCCTTCATCCCTGCCTTCATCCCTCTGCTCATCCCTGCCTTCATCCCTCTGCTCATCCCTGCCTTCATCCCTGCCTTCATCCCTCTGCTCATCCCTGTCTTCATCCCTCTGCTCATCCCTGCCTTCATCCCTCTGCTCCATCCCTCTGCTCATCCCTGCCTTCATCCCTCTGCTCATCCCTGCCTTCATCCCTGCCTTCATCCCTGCCTTCATCCCTCTGCTCCAACCCTGCCTTCATCCCTCTGCTCCATCCCTCTGCCCCATCCCTGCCTTCATCCCTCTGCTCCATCCCTCTGCCCCATCCCTGCCTTCATCCCTCTGCTCCATCCCTCTGCTCCATCCCTCTGCCCCATCCCTGCCTTCATCCCTCTGCTCCATCCCTGCCTTCATCCCTCTGCTCCATCCCTCTGCTCCAACCCTGCCTTCATCCCTCTGCTCCATCCCTCTGCCCCATCCCTGCCTCCATCCCTCTGCTCCATCCCTCTGCTCCATCCCTCTGCTCCATCCCTGCCTTCATCCCTCTGCTCCATCCCTCTGCCCCATCCCTGCCTTCATCCCTCTGCTCCATCCCTGCCTTCATCCCTCTGCTCCATCCCTCTGCCCCATCCCTGCCTTCATCCCTCTGCCCCATCCCTGCCCTCATCCCTCTGCTCCAACCCTGCCTTCATCCCTCTGCTTCATCTCTCTGTCCCATCCCTGCCTTCATCCCTGCCTTCATCCCTCTGCTCCATCCCTCTGCTCCATCCCTGCCTTCATCCCTCTGCTCCATCCCTCTGCTCCATCCCTGCTGCTCATCCCTGCCTCCACCCCTCTGCTCATCCCTCTGCCCCATCCCTCTGCTCATCCCTGCCTTCATCCCTCTGCTCATCCCTGCCTTCATCCCTCTGCTCCAACCCT